TTTCACTGTCTGAACGTTACAAAATGATACTCGTAGTTCATGTATTTGGAAGAGCCCTCCCCTTGTTGGAAAGTCTTCATTCTAAGTATGTCGGAGAGAATAGCATGGAGAGAAAATTGAACGATCACAAAGAGAACATTTGGCGTCATTTCATGGATATTGTTAACGAAAAGTCAGCTACCGTAATAGCATGTGACAGATTTTGTGAGGTCATTCGCGATCATGTTGAGGAAAACGTTAAGACCAGGTTTCCTGATTTAATATATGAACACATGGTTAATGAATTCCAGAATGCAAAGTATGTATTAGTTGCTCGTATACTGGAAGATCTATGTAGGAAAAAATACTTTGATAATTATATACATTATATCGATAATCCCTCCGGATATGCTTCAAAATGGTTAAAGGAACTTATAGATGATAAGTGTTTAAACGGCAACTTATACACCGATAAAGCGTCGGCAGAACTTCAGTCTAAATTTTCAGCCATTTTAGATTGTGTAAAGACATGTTCTGCTTCCTGTTTAGATGACTGGCTTTGTACTTTCCAGGAAAATATCAAGGAAACAGTGTGGATTCAAAAGGAGTCCTTTTTTGCTGTTCAGGACCAAAAGGTAAATGACTTAGATGATTTCATAAAGACAGTCAAGCATAAACTTGGAAACTTTCACGACGAACTAAAAGAAAAGTTTCAGCTTGAAGCAAAGAAGCCAATTAAATGGCTGAATGATAAAACACCAAATGAACTCTCAATGAAAAAACTCTGGGGCTGCGAAGCTACATGTCCATTCTGTCATGAACCGTGTCAGCCGAATTCTATACATACAGGTACACCTCATTCATGCATACAGCATAGAGCTGAGGGTGTTAATGCTTGGCGTTATGTCGGAAGTAACATTCTTGCATTGGAAAGTTGCAGTTTCCATGTACAATCAACCGCTTCATTTCGATGTGGTGCGATATGTAATGGAGGAAACTGCACAAAAAGATTCCTTTATGTATTTACAGTCAAGGAAGGATATAATCCCTTCCGAGATTACAAGAAGCACGTTCTGAACTGGGAGATTAACCCTTGTCCAGACATTTCATCGTCTGATTATTGGGCTTGGGTTTTGAGTACATTTAATGGAGACTTTGCTGAGACGTATAGAGCAATCCCAGCAGAAATCCCTTCATCATGGAAAAAAATTACTGAAGATGACGCAATCAGGAGTCTGAGAAAATAAATACAAACCTGTCTTACAATCAGGAGTCTGAGAGAAAAAATACAAACCTGTCTTACAATCAGGAGTCTGAGAGAAAAAATACAAACCTGTCTTACAATCAGGAGTCTGAGAGAATAAATACAAACCTGTCTTACAATTAGGAGAGAAAAAATACAAACCTGTCTTACAATTAGGAGTCTGAGAGAATAAATACAAACCTGTCTTACAATTAGGAGTCTGAGAGAAAAAATACAAACCTGTCTTACAATTAGGAGTCTGAGAGAAAAAATACAAACCTGTCTTACAATCAGGAGTCTGAGAGAACAAATACAAACCTGTCTTACAATCAGGAGTCTGAGAGAACAAATACAAACCTGTCTTACAATCAGGAGTCTGAGAGAAAAAATACAAACCTGTCTTACAATTAGGAGTCTGAGAGAAAAAATACAAACCTGTCTTACAATCAGGAGTCTGAGAGAAAAAATACAAACCTATCTTACAATCAGGAGTCTGAGAGAAAAAATACAAACCTGTCTTACAATCAGGAGTCTGAGAGAAAAAATACAAACCTGTCTTACAATCAGGAGTCTGAGAGAAAAAATACAAACCTGTCTTACAATCAGGAGTCTGAGAGAATAAATACAAACCTGTCTTACAATCAGGAGTCTGAGAGAAAAAATACAAACCTGTCTTACAATCAGGAGTCTGAGAGAAAAAATACAAACCTGTCTTACAATTAGGAGTCTGAGAGAAAAAATACAAACCTGTCTTACAATTAGGAGTCTGAGAGAATAAATACAAACCTGTCTTACAATCAGGAGTCTGAGAGAAAAAATACAAACCTGTCTTACAATTAGGAGTCTGAGAGAACAAGTAGAAAGGAAGACTTGCTGACGTTAAATTTGATCACTTAATGCAACCATTTCCACATAAACGTGACTTACTAGGACAATAATTGTTATCAGGATCAGTTTGGGGGTTGTGTTGAAGTCAACAAAACATGTAAATACAACGAACTAGAAAGAAATATTCAAGTAAGACACATTGTCGTGTTGAACTACTAGTTATTCTTATGAAATAAGACCAAATAAGTTTTAATGATTGTCCAACATTCCTTGAAAATGTTTTACTACATTGCCTTTGTAAAATTCCTTATTTTTTAGAATTATTTAATACTGTGTTAAACAGTTTCGATTAAGCACGTCATATCGCACAAGAGCATGGATCTCATTGATAATTGTCGTTGAACAGTGTCTCGTGCAATGCATCTTACCGTATCCTGTAGGCACGACTACTGTCTTCCGTCTGGTGTCGACTTTTCAAATCAAACAACATCTTCTCAATGACCAAGAGTCCCAGGGTACTTATATTGGTCACGTAGCATACTTGGATAGTAGGCTATCAAGTTTGCTCATAAGAATGACTGACCTACTTTCAAGGTTACAGAGGTGAAATGTGCGAAAATCTTTAAGTATCTTCTCAATAACCAATATGCCCTGAATACTAATAATAAGTCTATTGCATGCGGGGACGAAGAACAATCAAGTTTGATCAAATGAATGACCTTGAACAACTTTCAAATTTACATGGATGAGATGTGATATTTGGAAGACTACTTCTTACTAACCAATGGGTCCACTTGAGCGATATTTGACTTTTAGGATGCTTACGTGGTTAGTGTTCCAAATTTAACCTTGAACGATCAATCACCTAAATACCAAACAAGCACAGAAATGGTTATTACTTATGTTGAAAGAAATCCAATTATGTTTGAAGATATATTCTTGACCTATTTTTGCAGAAACACATCTGTTGAATTAATTTGGCTGCGACTCACTTTTAAGTTTCAATCGTAAAATGTGCTTCCATGCAACATGAGCGACAGGTGTGCATTACAGGCCTTTTTGGCCTTGTAGTTTGAACAATAATAAATGTGTCTCAACTTCCTGTATTTCATGTAGGTGTGCTCTATGATTTTGAACAGCTATAGATTTTGTGATTTTGTGTGATCATAATTAGTTTTCAATGATTACCATTGCCATTAATCAAATTTTATTTTTGTGCTATAATTTGATATTGATGTGACTATCTACATGTATAAATAAAGTTAAAAAATCCTGGTTTGGAAATATTAAATGTAAATAACAGTTATATGATTAATACAATCATGAAGTTTTGAAAGATTATTTTTATGCAGAGCTATGATTATAAATGTATTACTAATATGTACCTGTCATCATTTTATTGGCAACTCTGACATATTAAGGTATGGGACTTTAGATATATCCGTGTGTGATTAGATTTGAATCATATAAATCAGCATAACCAAAGAAAAATATAAAAAAATATTTCAAAAAGAAATTAGTTGATGTTGATCCCTTTGTCATTGTAGTTTCATCAAGTTAACCTTTTCAATAGAAGTGATTGTATTTCTTGTATTTCTATATAAACAATAAAATAGGTGTTTATACCACAAACAGAGTTGTACACTTTCTTACAAAAACATTGGGAAATGTTTGAGGCAATGACAACAAGAATTGTTGAATTGCAATTCACCTCAATTTTAAGGAGCAAGTAAATGTTTGACAAACTATAGAGTGATGCTAAGATATAGCCTATGAATGTTTCTGAAACAAATTTGGGCAAAATCTAATAATTCATACAGCAATAGGAAGATTTTAAATCATTTGCTCTATTTCCCCTATTGGGCCCCACCACTCCCACCCCATTTGGCAAAGACCAATCATTTTTCAGTATACAAATTTGATTTGCTCTCACCCAACAATACTTGAGACCAACTTTTGGCATAGTCCAATAATTGCTATAGGAGGAGTAGGATTTTAAAGAATTTGCTCAGTTTCCCAAATTGAGGCCCCACCTCCACCACTATCCCCACATGGGGGACAAGACCCATAATTTATACCTACCTGATTCCCCTTCACCTGAGATTGATCCAGAGTAAATTTTGTCAAAACCCAATCATTCCTGCAAGAGCAGTAGGATTTTGATAGAATTTGCTCCATTTCCTCTATCATGCCCCGTCCCTCTCACCCCAGGGAAGGGTGACCCAACCCTTATGTCAAATTGAATTTGAATCTATTAAGAATGTTTCAGGCTAAATTTGGGCAAAATCAAATAGTTCTTTTAGAAGGAGTAGGATTTTAAAGAATTTCTACATGTATATTTCCTTCTGGACCCGCCCTCCTCTTTCAGGTGGCACAAGGCTCACGGTTTATACAAAACTGATTCCTCTTTACCAAAGGATGTTGGAAAGTTACACTGACAGAGAACATGAAGAATAAAGAGATCTCTGAAGGATCTTTGTGTTCACCATAGCTTGATCTTTATTGGTTATTTGAAAGTGATATGTCTTCTCTTCTTTGCTATTCTTTCCTATGTTTTTGCTCTTAATCTTATGAAATTTGAAAATTTCTCTGAAGAAATAGCATTAATAATCTTTAAGTGTCAAATCAAAAATGGTCTTCATTGTTTATCACTAATCAGTGTCAAAATTAGAAGAGCACAACTATTAACCAAAGGGAACTTACTAATGAAGTTGGTATTTTCTCAAGAAAATGGCTTGCCCTTTCAATTACTCAACTATATCATAATTTCAGTTTAAAATCACTATCTGTCAAAGAGTAAATGATCAAGACCAATTTCACTTATGGCAGAATGATGGTTGGAGAATACGTATACATCCTACAATCCTACACCATCTTTATTTCATGGACAGGCTAAGGGCATCACAAACGCATTGTATATCACAATAGAGGATTTAATTTTTGTAAGCAGAGAGTCACGCTCAGATCATTTTAAAGTATCGTTTCACATATACATAAACAGTTGACAAAAATCTTCAAAATGAATGTACATAAAGACTTATTACCACAAGGTAAATATACATGTACCTTCATTTAATATTTATATAAATCATGTATACAGATCACAAATGATTTTATTTACAATTCACATATAACATACACTATATATCTATGTCAATTAAATATGGTCTGTTTTTAAAAGCTGTACCTCTTTATAAAATGTATGAGCACATTTTATTTTTAAACTTCTGCATTATATGCAGTTAAAGTATAAGTACAACTACTAGGCGCTTTTTCAGTCTTTAATTATATTTGTAGCTTGAAAATGCACTAATAGAATTATAACAGAATATAATTTAAAATCAGTTAATGCTTTGGTGTCAAAATTTCCTGCTTTGAACAAATGAGTCAAAAGTGCATGAAAACAGAACAAAGCATATAATTCATAAACAAAAACAACATCAGCACATTAAAATCTCACAAATCTGGACATTTCGTTCTACGAAAAATTATCCAGTCCACACAAATTTACATATAACTTTACTTATCTGTAATTTCCATGTTATTCCTATAAACAAACATGAATATCAATAAAATCAGGAGACATACATCAGTTTTCATTGAGATTCCTGGATATTTAAGGATAAGAGTATAAAATATCATTTGAAAGTCAACTCTATCACATTTAATACATTTTGTTGTTCATAAATATACATTTACAACAGGTAACATTACACTGATTTTATACTTAATAATAATAATTTTATACTTGTAATAACACACTACTGGTATATCTGTAACACAACTATTGTTCCTGTAACAACACACTACTGGTATAACAGTAACACTACTATTGTTCCTGTAACAACACCAGTACTCTACTACAAATATATATATATATATCTCACAGTCTCCATTAATATATGCAGTTTACGTACTACTGTGTCAAATTAATGTAACTGACAAATTTCTAAAAGTAGTAAAAGTGAACTTGGAACACAAAACTTATTTCAGATATTCTCAACAGATTTAGCATAGTGATGGTACTTGATTGATGGATGGATTTCCATATAAAGCAAAAAAGAACATGGCCTTGGAACTCTGAAACATGACCTTGTCCGAGTTACTTTCATGGCAGACTTTTGTGTAATAGTTTGATCCAAATGTCTCGGTAAACCACCTTGAAGTGATGACACCAATTCAGGACGCCACTTGGGAGAGGTCACAACTGACGATGGTAACACTATGTATCACAACTATACCCCCATAAAATGATCATCAGTGAATCAGTAGGAAATTGATCAAGGTCTTTACAGGTATCCAGCAGTTTATCATTTAACCTAAAGACAATGGCTTCATAGGTGAATGGATTGCAAAATTATTTATTTACCTTAAATGGGACACATCACATGAAAGAGGATTAAAACATACTTGCAATATCTTTATAAACATCAAATTTCATCATTGCAGTGTATCTTTCATTAGAAAATCTTAAACAAGTACCGTAAATTTGCGGGTATAGTGCGCAGGTACTTTTTTGGGGTCAGATAAAAAAAAGAGATTTTCTACAGAAAGATTAATTGATTACTGGTAACAAATAAGTATAAAATTCAAATTACTGATCAATATTGGCCATAAGTCAATTCAGTGATGAATGTTGGTCCATGACAAGCTCTTTGTAAATAACTATGTTATCATAGAGGTCAACAAATGTTACAGCTCAAATAATCAGTATTTTTCTGTATGGATGAGAACACAAAACTTTGCAAAAGATTATTCAATAGGTCACCAAAGGTCACAGGGCAGACTGGTCTTAAATTTCAAACATTTTCTATCACATGATTGCCTTGTTGTTCAATGAATGTACACACTGACAGATCTAAATTGCATTGTGGTGTAACAACGGAAACGTCTGCGCTCTAGAATATTTACCCCAATAATCACACATAAGATAAACAGAATCTTCAATTTGTTTCCTTTTGATTTATGATACTTGTCACAAATTGTCACAATATCAATATGAAGGTATTCCAAGATCAAATAAATCACCTTTAAATTGCCTTTTGATAGTCGATGTTATCTATAGGTAAATACATAGGACACCAAAGGCCATAAACTAATTTATGTCAAATTTTAATACAGAGGTTACTGAAGTTCACAGGTCAAGTGTTGGAAACTACAACTATTTTTTCAGTGGTCAAAAATTTCTTTAAATGTATGCTATCTGCCCTCCAAACTAGTGTATTATTGTATATCATTTCAAATGTCAAATGGAATCCCCTTCCCTTCAACTCTTTACATAATAATCATTGCATACATCATTTTTTTTAATTATTAAGTACAATCTTTAACAATAACTGTTAATCTTACTAATTTCATACATGAATATATAGGTCTAGAATTATGTAACAAATGATGTAAAATTCTAACAGTTCTATACAATAAACAGCAATGAACTAAGATCAAAATGTTGGCGAAGAGTTGATAACTGTCTTCCTTCCAATTAAAATCACTCAATTGGGAGTTCAACTATTCAATTAGATATGGTGGAAATATTGCACAATAGTGTATTATTATATACAGAGAGCTACATGTATATGGAGATAGAATGTAGAGACAGGTGACTCTCAGACATCCCGGTGTGACCTCCATTGTACCAGTGCAGGTCTCTACCTCTCATCATAATAAACATCCTGAAATAAACAACATTAAAATATATCAAAGACATATCGTAGCAGGAAAAGCAGAGAGACTATATTCTAGGTAATTTAAACAATCAATGTACAATATATCACATTCTAAAGTGAACCATAAACAAGACTGATTTAATATCCCTTCTTTCAATTTAAATTCTATTCTATCTAAAAAGACACTTTCATGTTAACTCGTTTCATGAAATTTAGACATTTTCCAGACAGACAGACAGTTGGGAAAAACAATTTCCTTATTTTTTGAAGCTACACTTATTGTAAATGTATTAACATCATTTTAGTAGCTAAGTACATGCAATTCCTTAACTTAAATTGTAAACAAAGGGTGATAACTCTATACATAACTGGCCATGAAACCCAGATTCAGGAAACAGCACAATAGACCCCAGGAGTTATTCATAAAATGTGATTGCATCATTGGAAAGATGTGATTTGGACAAAATATACATGGTATATATATGTATGTGAGTGGAATTGCTTACATCTAAATCAATATACCATATAAAATACAGAATGTACATGTAGCATCCGATATGTTAGAGAATGTTATCACTTAAAAAAGAGCTGGATATTGATGTCAAAAGCCTTCTTCTGGCTTATATTTCTGGAAGATAGATTTGTTCATTTGTAAATAAAATCAACAATAATAATTGTCTCCAAATTCTACAAAATTCTCCCTTTCGGTGTAAAAAAAAAAATATAAGTGACTTGTTGTACAAAGAATCCCATTCAGAATTTTAAAAAAAGTGGCTTAATGTAAGTCAAACAAGAGACCTTGTGGCCTTGACATTCACCTGAGGTTACTAATATTGAATATTAAGGTTAAAGGGTAAGTAGCTTTATAGTGTCATAAAAAAACGAAATTGTGACATTGATGATAGTAAGTCAATGCCAAATCATGCATACCATCAAACGTTTCATCCTAGACTAATAATTCTTACAAAGTTATTTTCAGTGGGAAATAAGCAACATCATGCTCAAAAATGCAATATTTCTAGTAAATTATAGTAAGGATATCCGCTTCCCCAGGAAGAAATTTGAGACCCATTTTGGTAAGAAGAGCACCTTAAAACACTCCATCTACAAAGAGCATTTGATTCTACCATATCTTGAAAAATTTTGTTTAATCCAATTCAATAATTTGACCCCTTTTGCTATGCCCATCAGCCCCATGGGGTCATTCAGGATCAATATGGACATACCCTCAAACCATCATGCTCATAATTCTAACCAAGTTTGAAATATTTCCAATAAAAATTTAATTATGCTAAAAAATCTGTTTTACCTATATATGAACTAAAGTAAATTCTACCCTCTCCCCATGGGGAAATGTGAAACCCTGGCGCTATGATATTCACAATTTTGGTAGGGCACCTTAAGACACTTCCATCCAAGAAGGTACTTGATTCTACCATATCTGGGTGTCGGTAATAAGATTTTAGAAATCTTGGTCAATCTGACCGCTTTTGGTTCCATCCCTCAGGCCCCTCTGGAGTGTTGACTGTTCAATTCACTATTTTGGTTCATCTAAGGAAAAGTAAGGTTTCTGCAAGATTTAAGGGGTTTTTGAGGAGAAGTGACCTTAACATAATATTGCAGTCTTGTGTTGAGGACTTACATACAATATGTATAAAAATGTATACATAAAACATAATTTTTCATGAAATAAATTGGCATTTTTATGCAAATAACCTTTTAAAAGTATTAAAAGTAATACCTGTCTTTATCAGAACATGGAGAACTGTTTTGTTATGTTTTCATTGTTTTAAATTTCAACAGCTGTGTTTCATATTGCATAACATCAATACATCCTAAAATAAATCCGTAGGTGTCTGGTACAACATGAAGGGGTGATGAATCAAGACTCCAGCAGTAAAAGGTGTGTCCTTCCACAAAACTGTTCATTCTGTTCCTTAGTTTTTACTAATGAGTGGACATTTCTTCTGATGACTACCAAGTGAGCTCCTCCATTTGAAAGCAGCACCACACTGACAGCTATACCTACGGGCATCACCATGCTTCCCCAAAACATGTTCTCTAAGGTAACCACGAACAGTAAACGTGTCTCCACAGATGTGGCACTTGTACATGTTATTCCCTGTCATACCACACGTTTTCTTATGTGAACTGAGAATGGACTGGTAGTGAAATGACATGCCGCAATTTGTACATGGGTATGGCTTAATACCACGATGTTTGTTCATATGGTCATTGTAAGCATTTGGTGACCGGAATTGTTTTTTACATAAACCACAGTTGTATGAGCTAAACTCTTGTTTCAATTTTATCTGGTGTTCAGGTCTTGTATTGCTTACAAGATGAGGCTCAGTTTGAGGCACTTCAGAATTTCCAGGTGGGTCGGCTGTAGCAAGCATTAGCTGGTTCATTACAGAGTCATTCATCTCTATTCTTGTCTCAGGTTCTTCGTCAAATGAGATCACCTCTTGCTTTATTCTGGTTTCACTTTCAACTGGTACTTCAGTCTCTTGCTGCTGTTGGTCTGTATCTTGAGTAGAACCACTTGACCACTGATGTCGGATAACCTGATCTTTTGAAACTGATACAGGGTATGGAAAATCAGGACCATTGCTCCTGAACATCCCAGTAGGTACAACACTGTGGCTCGGATGTCCATTTTCATTTTTCTGCTGAATTTTGTTATTAGACTGAGTAGAACTTCTCTCAAATGAAGTAGATGGCAAATGGGTGGATGATTGCTGATCAGACAGTTGACTTTCTGTATTACTTGCTGCCACACTGTGCAAGTACATTTCTCCGGCTTGAACACGTGTTTCCATTACTGGTGCATAGGATGTTGTTGGACTTCGATGTGACGGCATCATCCCCAACACTGTAGATGTTCTCACATCCATAAAATGAGGTGGAATTACTGGCAGCATTCTTGCTCTCGGTGAGAGCGATGAAGAGATAGGTGGGAGAGGTAAGGAGGATCTTGCAATTGGCGATTTTCGTTTACTGCCAATTTTGGAAGTAGCTGGAAGTTTTGAAGGTCCTTGGAATGGTGCAGAGGCATTATTTGGCTGGTTGAGCAGGACATGTTTTTTGCCATTTGAAATGTTCCTGGATGGAGAAGATGGGCATTTTTCTTTGTGTAGATTAAGTGAACTTCTCCATTTGAATCTTTCTCCACAAACACAACTATACCTATTGATATTCCCATGCATCCCTAGTATATGTTCTTTTAAATAGGATCTTTTCATGAAAACATCACCACAAATTTTGCATGTAAAATCCACTTTCCCAACTTCTGTTGTATTCCAGTTTGGCATCTGTAAATTCCCAGAATCTTGTACATTTGTGTTGGAGTCCTTATTTGTCAAGCTATTTTGCTGCTCCTGAAACATCTGAATTCTGGTGACAGCATGAAGGGATATATGACTGATGTATTTCTCATGATCATCAATGGTAGCACCACATATTTCACATGTAAACGAGTTCTGGAAATCTCCTGACATCTTAGTTCTTTGATCTTCATCAACCACTAAAGCTGAGGTAGATTCTGAATTGCCTCTATCTTTATCCTGTACGAATCCTGCTTGATTTGGTTTCAGTGACAAATCCCAACCTCTGCCTACATCTTTGTTATGGTTATACTCTTGTGCATTGCTTAAATCCACTACAGCAACATTTACAAATGGAAAATCTTTTCCTTGATCAAGAGGTTTGAGCACATTTCTTGATTCCTCTGTAGTTTCAAAAGATTTGCTATGTGTATGGTTTATGTCCTGTCCTTCCTCCTCCTGGTCTGCTTGTATGTATTGGGGTTGCTCATCACAATGTCCACTATTACTTGAAAAACCAACACACACAGCAGCTTCCTTTGCCGAAATATGATCACTGATCAATGTATGATTGGTGTTCCCAGAAGAAATATCCTCACCTTGTACCACTGAGGTCAACTTACTTTCACCTTCTGATTCCATGTCATTCTCTAAAGTAGGATTAACAGGAATTTCAAACACAACATCTGCCTGAGTAAGTGTGTCTGTATTTTCCACGTTGTCAAGAACCGATTTATTTTGTTTATCATTATTTAATTGTTCTTTTGTCTTCCTTTTGAAATATTGCTGTATCTTGAATTTTTTCCTCATTTTCCTTTCGTGTGTTTTGCTGTGCTCTTTAAAATGTGCCTTGTTTGAAAATCTGCCATCACAAAACCCACAAACATACATCTCGATTACACTCCTTCTTATCACTGCTTGTCTGTGACAAATATTTTGATGTCTGCGTAAAGCATGTTTCATTCTAAAGATCTTTCCACAACGTGGGCATCTGAGCTTTGTTCCAGAAGCTTTATTTCCCCATTCCTTACACGAAAGCTCCCTCTTGAATGCAATATCATTTGGCTTTGAGGAACGACTTGAACCAGTTTCTCCCTCCTCCTCTGAACAGTCTAAGCTGGATCCATAAGGACAATCATCAGAACTAGAAGTAGAGGAGCCATCAGGGTATATCACATAATCAGATTCATTACCTTCTTGGTCACTTACCTGTGCAGCTGGCATCTCATACAGTGCATTAGTGGCGACACCTGGTGGAGTGAGCATTGCCCCATGTTGAAACATCTCGCTTTCTCTCGGTTCTTCCTTAACCACATAATCCTGGTCATCGTTTTCATTCTCCAGCTCAGCTGCTGTGTTATTTTCTGTATCAACGTCTGGTGGCAATGTTTGTGAGTAGGTAATATCATCAGGCTGGTTATCATCTGTCTCCATAGCCTCCATATCCGCGGTCTCCGCATTGACAGTTTCTGAATCCAGTTCAGGCTTAATCTGCATGGCTATGAAGTCTGAGGCGCCGCTCAAATCTGTGATATCAGTTACTGAGTAATCAGAAATGGCAGCTGCCGTGGAACATCTTTGTTTATGTTGACGAAGGGAGTTCCTCCATTTAAAACTGACTCCACACTCACAGACATAATGTCCAACCCTTCCATGCTTGCCATTTTCATGTTCAATTAGTATACTTTTCTTCTTGAACTGGTCCCCACAAACATGACAAACAAACGTGGTTGGTTTTTCCAATGGTTTCCTCTCTTGTCCACAATGCTTTTTGTGTATTGATACATCAGACTGGTAGAAAAATTTCTTTCCACACGTTTTACAACCATAGGCCTTTATTCCTTTGTGTTTGTTGACATGGCCTTCAAAGTGATGTTTCTGATAGAAACCCTGACCACAGTCAGGGCAGAGATACTTCCAATTCCCTTCGTGTGCAGAGAGACGGTGGTACTTCAAACCTTCCTTTGTTCCAAAATCTCTGTGACAGTAATCACAATCAAACCTAAGATTTCCATGCTTAACTTGAACATGAAGCCTCAACTTGTAGGAATCTGAAAATGTCTTGTCACACTGTTCACATTTGTTTGTGTTTCCATAGTGAACACCTAGATGTCTCCTAATGTGGAACATTCTTGGTGTTTTGTATTCACATAGTTTACAGTTGTACATGCCACTGCTATCTTTTTGGAATTCTTTTTCGGTTTCCTTTTTCATTGTAGACTTTTCCCACTTGCTCATAGGTATTAATGTATCACTGGTAGATTTGAAATTTTCCTCTATTTTGTTTTCACCATGCGCAGTCTTAGTATGATAGGTAAACCCAAATCTACTACTGAAGACCTTTGGGCAGAAAGAACACTTCAGTGTGGTACCTCGCTCCTCATGAAATGTGATGTTGTGATATTCCAGTCCACGCTTGCTAGTGAAAACCTTAGAGCACTTTGGGCATGGGTAGCTGACAGATTTCTCGTGTTTCACTTTGATATGTTCTGTTAGTTTGCACTTTTCTGTGTAGGCTTTACTGCAATATGGACATTTGAACTCTTTTCCGGTATGTACGGTGATGTGTCGTCTTAGTCTACCAAGAACGTTTGTCTTATAGCTACAAAAGTTACAATTAAATATAGTTTCTCCGTTTTCAGTGACAGCCATATCTTTAGCTATACTTAAAGCTACATCACGGACAAACTTCACATTATCGCCCTTATTCATTCCCATCTGGTAATTGTCACCAATTTCCTCCACTGACATCTCCAGAGATTCTCCCTCCTCATCTTCCTCCTCATCATCATCTTCCCCTCGTCCAATATAACTGCAGTTCATGGAACTATCTTCATTAGCTACTCCCTCATCATCTGTCAAAACATCAAAACACCAAGGTCAGACTTAATGAATGGTCTTTACATATTCATTTCATAAAAAAATGATAAAAGGATTTATTTCTTGAATATATTCTTACTTTTCTGTCTCAAAACATCATTAGTCATAATTAGTCATCTTCCTTTTGCCATGATGGGGAAATGTCCATTTACTGATCAAATCAAAGACAACTCTTTAGAATTATAAATTTTCCAAGAAAAAATCCAATTTCAAATTCCATTCTACATATCTTAACTTAGTTACAAAGAATAGCTTTATTTCCTTTTGAAATAATAAACCATATGATGCAACAAGCATGAATTTATGGAAAATATTACATAAAAATCTATTTTCAAGTTCAATATGAACCTAACAATAAAAGAGAGAAACAAGAATCAACAGACATTATTACACATCACAAATGTATAACAAACACATGATGAAGGAAATATGAGATCTGAGATCTCATGATACAATAATGTGAAACTTATCTTTATTTGAAGAATTACTGTCACATTTTCACAAAATTAAAAAAAAAAAAAAAGTTTTTTATTCACCCACATGCTGCAACTATTGCTAATGACAAAATCCAAATAAATTTCTGTCACAATTATACATAGAATCATAAATTATAGCATATCAAAAAAATTTTCTATGACTGAATTAATACAAGCTTCATGTATATAGTTTTCTGTATCTATCATATCTAATTTGAATAGCAAATATATCTTAATTTCATTCAAAGAAATAACTTTGTGTTCATTGTTTTTCACCTTTGACAAAATATATACATTACACATGTACCTATTTGGTTTTGCACTTCATTTGATTTCTCCCCTTCAAGCTCTGGAGAACTCTCTTTTGCAGCTGGAGTACCACTGTCAATAATTTCTGCGTCATCTCCACTTGCCTCAGGCTCTACTTTTATATTTGGTGTAGGAGGGGATTCCTCAGTTACCAATGGTTCTTCCCCTGCCTCTTCCTCATCTGTTTGTTTTGCTACGTCTGTTGTGACAGTTGAAGATGAGAAATCTGCAGTCTTGGTTTTACTCTCACAGAATGTCTTTGCTACCTTACTCGATCTTTTAGAAACATTAATTGAAATGTCTTTAGAAAGAATGTTTTCAGGCAGTGTCAAAATTATCTTTCTGGGACATTTCTGTTTTCTTCCAACTTGTAATGCCGGTATGGTTTCAATATCTCTATCACTGGGGCTGAGTCTGTCTTCAGTGGCAGCAATATCGGTGTCTTTGGAAGTAGGTGGGTCTGTACTGTTGTTGTCAGCACCACTATCTGGGTCATGAGACTTGGGAAAGAGCTTATCGTGGTCAGGCCTAGACATGACCTTCCTCATCCAGTATTCTGTTTCCTTTTGCAGTCCTTGTTGTTTTGCCTGCTTACTCTCATCTGACTCTGTCCATACCTTCTCAACATTGCTGCAACAGACAATTATCATAGAATGAAATGTCCTGACTTAAATAAAAAAAAATCATAAACTAAACCACATTACTAGTACATGAAAAGTACTATTTTCACATAATAGATTCATTAAGTTTGTATGACCTCTCGTGGTGTCATGAGGTTTACATAATGAATTGCCACCACACTCTCACAGACTCTGTGAAGTCAAGGTTACTGAAAGTTTGACACAGAAATGAATATTTTCTACAATATTTACCATAATAACTGATCGGGAGATATTATATTTCTTTTGTGTTGTAGAGAACAGAAAATTTTCATTTAAACAAGCCTATATGAAAAATCCTTGGTCTCAAATTTCAAATCTCATGTGAAATGGAAGCTTACGTCAAACATGTTCTATAATGAAGCTTTATCCTCCATCCCTAAAAATAGTATACACAAAATACTTCTAGCAAGAGTCAGTATATGTTCTTGATGCATGGATTGGGCATTTTAACAGTGAAAAAGCATTCAAATAGGCAAATTAGGAATAAATATTTCAATTTTGAATTTTCAACTTTAAAACATTAAAAGTAAAGGAACTTGTAAGACTTCTCTAGATCTAATGAAATCAGAACATCAATGACTTATGTTACATATACCAAAACCTTTCCTTTAGTTAATACCTATTATACAAAGAGAAGAAGTGTTCCATCAACTCGCTCGAATCCATTTGTGTCTCTTCCATAATTGCAGAGTAGCGGTTTTTGAGGTCCAGCCTCACAGTGATAACAGCATCTTCCCCAGCACCCATCACTGACACTCAGGATCACCAACTACATTCTGTAAAGATATTTTTAGATGGTTCATTTCTCATATACCCATATATCAATATGTGGCCTGTGTTTATTATTTTCACAGTTGATAAAGTCTCACAAGAAGGAGAAAATTATTATTGATTTACCACTTTAACTACAACAAATCAAACAATAACACATATACCCATCTCATGCCGAAGTGAAATACATCATTGTATGAATATCAATATCTCAACAAAATATTATTTCATTTCTAGGGTGTAAAAAGTGAGATAGATCTGCTGACAGGATTTAAATGCTAAGAAGGGCCATAACTCTTCCTTCTATTGTGGAATCAAAATGCTATTCAGGAAATCACAATTACATCTCATGGCAAGTTCTACAAAGTTTGAAAGATAGTCTTGGAAACATGAGACATCTGCTGACAAGTTTTTGATAATGGCTAAAATAAGGGGCAGTAACTCTTTCAAAAACAGTTGAACTTCCCACGCCATGACTAAGTCTAATAAGGTTGAAATAAAATTGGTTTAGATCTGGGAGATCTATGATCAAAATTTTGTACTGGTAGCCATGTCCAGAATGTAGATGAATTGTCAATAGCCTTAACACATATGAAAGTGAAGAAATGTTTTCTTTTTCCACCAACATATAGTTTGTAAGAAATGCATAAAGAATTGCTTCATGTGTACCAAGCTATAAGTTGTAACCCCCAATTTAATTAAATTTTGTACATGCAGAAAATTTAAAAAATCAGTCCGTATTTTACATTTGATACCCACAAATTTTCATAAAACATTTACATGGGAAACATCAATTTAATACACGTTAGAGCAGAAGCAAGTTCAGTGGAACTGCCATATAAACAGGACACAGTCATCAATGATACCATGATAACAAAATTTCTGTTTTGATAATACATATGTACATCAATGTAACATTACACCTAGATGTCTTAAATATCTCTTATCATTCAAACCACATATAAGGGATGTAAGGAAGCAAACAGGGCATTTACAACCAGAACAAGTGATGACAATCATTGTATGCTCCTGAACAAACCTAATCGCAATGCATAGCTATTGATAATTACAATGCACATATATGCTACACATATTGTGGTTGGTAAAAATAGAAACTCCAGTTGGAGACTGTATTCTGCAAGTGCAAATATTGTAAATGACAATTCCTAGTCTAGAGATATTATAATGACAGAGTGAACCCTTCTGACTATTCCACAACGTAAGCGGCATGCTGATAAACTTATTTTATCACCAACGGAGTCCTGTCATTATGTAAACAAAATCCATGATACATGTGTGTGAGAACACTGTATACACCGATTTTATTATTGATAGATTGTCGCAGATCTAACATTATCTATATTGTCAAAACGCCCGATATTTTTTTTTTCTTTTGATGAGCGAAAGGTAATGTGAAGTGGAGGCCAAAACAGAGCGTGTCTGACATTACATCGTTGTAACTATATCTTATTGTTACAGTGCTCATGGTTAACACTAGTGAAACGATGGACGTTATTGCTTTTTGCCTATGTATGCATTGGGAGAAAAGGTTTCAAAGTGCATAACTATTTGGATCGCTTTGTGACCTCGCATGCTTCATAAACTAGTCCTTTATTCCCATGTAAAGATATACGGCATTGTAAAGGTTTCCAAACAGCTTCGATTTCTGTTTTCAACTTGGTTTATGGTCATAATAACTCCTAAAGCTAAATCAACAGGGACAAAGACACCAAATGCATACGTTCAAATACGTTTAAATGAACGCTTCGGAAAGAACTATTAAATCAAAAATTTGACTTATTACCGAAGCAAAATGTAAACTAGGGTTACTCGCAATCTCCGGTCAGCTTAGGTAGGGACGCCATTTTCTTTTGTGCTCTTTTCCTGTAAAGGGACGTTACTCTATTTCTATCTGAAAGATTTTGCAACTTTATAGCTTTAATAAATTATAAATGTTACACCAGGGACTTCCATTAAAGCGATAAAGGATATATCGGCCTGTCGTTAAAATAAAACATACAAAACGACCACATATGTTGCCTTTTTACTGAAATTACTGTAAAAGTAAAAACGAGTCGCCATTTGTATGACTTTTTTGGGGTTTTTTTTATACATTGTACTTGATCTATCTTCATCATAAGCAAAATTCCACGTAATATTGTCTGCCCTTACAAATGTTTACCAATGTAATATAAGTGGATACTATTGACTAACTAATTATGGAAAACACAAATTACATGGACACCGCTACATATATATATCTATACTTGAATTAGTGCACAGGAGCCTCTCGAAAGTTAGGATTAACTAAGAAATAATTTCAAGAAACATACAGCTCCACTAATGTTTTTACTTGTACAAGTGTACATTTATAGTAGAATATATGTTGACCAGATATGCATGTCAATGACATTCAGTCTTTCACAATATGGCTGCACGCACATGACAGATCTGTAGTTACATATTTAAGCTGGTAAAATGGGTTCAAATTAATATTACCTATTTATTGACTTACTTACACATATAATGGGTTGTTTGTTTGTTAATTTTTGTTTGTTTTGTTAATTTGTGTGTTAACTGGGTTGATAGCTTTTACTTTCTAATTACCACATGATCAACCGACAGGATCATTTTGAGGTTGGGTCGTCTTAAAACTGACAAACGTATTACTGAACGTGCGGAAGACCCATCGCATGTCATTCGAAACCATTGGGAGATAAAGCGCTTGGTCCAAGTACACATCTACTTAAGTAAATGACGATACGTTTACTCAGCTTATTGAGAAACACTAACCGAAACTGAATGACGAATTTGTAAAGTACAACGCACTATCGACTTGGCTATCACAACCCTCCTAGAATATCAGTAGTACAAAGATTTTTTTTTTCAATTTTTCACTGTATCTGTTTTTAATAGGAATCGTTTGATCATTTTTCTCAGTTGGCAAAAAAATCACAATGTCAAGTAATGTTTGATGGGTTACACTAGAAAACGATTGCGCACTGTAAATGCATTTGACAAAGGAAGGAACAGATATGCAGCGCTCGCTTCGAGAACCAACATGCAAGCTTTTCATAATCCTTCAACGAGGCCACGTGCTGTACCCTGACATAAACGACTGACACCACATAGTTTTCTATTCATTAGCATGTACATGTATGTAATTTGTCACATGTTTTATGACGTCATCAATAATAAGATCATGAGTTGGATTATGACGTCATCAATAATCAGCCATCTTGACGTCACGTTGAGATGGCAATCCATATGATATGCGTGCGGTAATGGGGTGAATGGGGGAAACCAAAATAATGAATGACGGTACGGTGAGAGGGCATGCCGAGAAGAGGTATAAACGATCCGGCGTGTACCCATATAAGAGGGCGTTCAATTCGGAAAATCGACAGGGAAAGTCAGCCTCCATCTTTGAACACCAGTCCAAGTCTCAGTCAGACCGGACTACAGACCTCGTGAATGCGGATTGTACCAATCATGGTTATCGCTTGTCTGATCCACTGGGGGAAGGGGCGTACGCCAAAGTGAAGAAAGCAGAGGTCATGCCAAGCAAACTGGCCAGAAATCAGGTCATGGCAGACATTGCCGGAGAATCAGGGAAAATGGATGTGAGTCTTTAACAGTTACGTTGTACAGCAATTAAATACCTCATAAAATGATATGAAAAGACATTATTTGGTGTTCTCTTAGACTTAACACATTATCGAATTCCTGTTAAAAAAAAACATACGTATCTTATCTAAATATTTTGCAAGATGATTGTCCTTCTTTACAGAACAGGAGAAACTTTACTCGCTAAACTATGTGAATATTGTAGATTTTGAAGTTTTGAAATAACATAAAGGAAAATTCTTACGAAAAAGTATGTTTGGAATGTATCATACTTCTGAATTTATATACGCAAGAATGACAGGGAGCAAATTTAGCAACAAGCGTTCTTTCCTTGATTGGGCTAATTATCTTGTACAATCTTAGAAGACCATATCGAATATATTTCGTTCGTGTATTTAGACGTGGTTTTAAAATGTTTGTCAATTTATTTGTTATAATTTTAGGTAGCGATAAAAATTATCGACAAGAAACTGGTACCGAAAGACTTTCTGCTGAAATTTCTCCCCCGTGAGCTGTCCAACCACTTGAAGATCCCGCATCACCCACACATAGTAAGTGAATTAGATATTTTGATATAATACGATAGCCGATGTTGTCACATATAGCTTGAAAATATAAGATATTTAGTTGAAACAATATTTTTATTTAATATTCAACAATTAAACACATACATTTAATACATATGGGATGGGAAAACAATATATATGAAGGCTCTAAAACTTATATACATTCCTTTCATGTATTTCATTTCTTCTATGTGTTTCAGAGAAAGATGATTAAAAAAAATTACATTTTATTCAACCAGAATCATATATGGTGCAGATTATATTTTATGATTTTATAAAAGTATGCGTTTCAGCAATGGTTTCAACAGAAAAACATGTATATCAGGACGGGCAATGAGGTTGGCTTGGGAGCTGGGTTTTGAAACAAAAATCTTTTGAATATAGGAAGGTCAACGAGATGATGTAATAATTATCTTCTTTTTAACCTAATTTCATCATTTTAGCCTTTCGTGGACGAAATCATATGTCACAGGTTGTAGCGACATAAATCTAAATACAAACAAAAGAGATGGATTGTTTCTACTATTAACAGTGAATTCGAAATGAAGTGTTATATGTGGTTACATAATGTAATTGGTATAATATGGACTGTATGAAGAGTTGCACAAATCGACAAATGGCAGACAACATTCAGATTTTGAATCACGTCGTATGTCGATCCATTTGTCGCACATTAAATTACTCGCCCTCATTTCTCACCAAAATACTTTACTCATAGGCCACTTTCATTGCTCCCTCTACTCGCCCACATGACATCCTAAGATATCTATTTACACTCTTATGACTGTCCACCTTCTCAACTCTCGTCCTCGCCCAGATTGTATCCCTACGGTTTATCTCCTTCGCTCTCCTTCCCAACTTAGATGGTATCCCCAGATATTCAATCTTCGCTTCTGACTGCCCACATGGTGTCCCTAGAGGATACTTTCCTCTCCTCACTTCTTTCCCTGCAGCCAACATCACCCCCACCCTGACAGTATCCCAGAGGAATCCTTCTTCGTGTTCCTCTCACACAAATGGTATCCCGAGAATTCATTCTTCACTCCTCTGACTGCCCGCATGGTATTCCCCAAGGTTACCTTTCCCTCTCCCCTCACCGCCTTAAAAAGTATCCTCACATTCCTCCCCTCCAAGATGGTACATGACATGAGATATATGTTTTTTTCGTTACGTCGGACGCCATACGTAGATTTGCGCAACTTTAAAATTCTGACAGTGTGACGAATCATATAACATTAAATTCGAAATGTCGAGTGTCGAATTTTGAAATATAGATATCGTGGTTTTGGCTTCACGACATTCTAATTCCCATTTTCCTCATCCCCGTCTTATGCATTAAACAATTTATGCCAGGAATTATTTGGCACCCTCTGATTTTTTTTTTTATTTTTTATTTTTATTTATTTTTTTTTTTTACAAATTCCACTATGTCGAGTCACGAGACATTCATACAGCCTTTCCTTAAGTTAGATGTCAGATTTCTAGATAATACGGGAGCTTATTTAATTGCACATTTAGTAACAAAAGGATAATTTTTCTCGCTGATTGCACTCGAAAATAGCTATAATCTATTGTTATGTACATCAACTAGTAATTTAGAATTACTACTGTCTTTGTGTTCCTTTGTTGGGTTTATCGCCCGTGAACAGTCAATGACTGAGGTAGGTTTCCTTGTAATGGCTGGTAGCCATATAAGTGAAGAACATACAGAAAGCTCGTCGCATCCCATCGAGAACAATTGTGATATAGTGTCTTGCCTAAGGACACAGCCACAATAGCACCGAGCGGTTCGTTTCTCAGCTTCCCGACAAATACAAACAGCTAAGATAAGGAGCGCCGAACTTATCACCTCGGATCTTTTTACCTGGTTTTACTTAGGCTTTCGTGATCTTCTACATAAGTCGACGGATGGGAAGGCGTATGTCTTCCTATTTTACTAGATTTTTACATGTCTAGTGGATCTTGTTATATTTCGAAGATCAACATGGTGTGACTGTTTCTGTACCGTTTACATTCCTCTAGGTACGATTGTATGAGCAGTTTTCCACGCAGAACCACGTGTTTATGGTGATGGAATATTGCTCTAACGGGGATCTGCTCGACCTAATCAACAAACACATTGGAGAGAATGAGAAGGGGATCGGCGAAGATCGTGCTCGCCAAATCTTCTCTCAGATCTGTAGTGCTGTACAGCACCTTCACAAAAATCTTATTGTTCACAGGTACAGCATATAATCATTTCATAAAAAAAACTTCCAATCTCATATATATTATAGTGACAACTATTTAAGGATTGCGTTCTGTTTATTTTTTATTTATCTTCATCGGCTTACGACAGTAAACATAAACAAAACGAAAACGATATCTCATATTTCATCCAAACGCATGCAAATACTGTATGAAGGTTGTTTTGGTCTCATAATTTTTCACTGATATAGACGAACCAAAAGCGGTGATGTCATCTTATACATAAAATTGTGAATTACAATTATGACAATCGCACGAAACATTCATCTTTTTTTAAAGTGTAAAATCGTAATTGCCAGATAAATAATAAATGAACAGAGTGATTTTATGAACCAGTATTTTCCTTAATAAAGCCTGTTAGCAAAATGGACAAATATGACCAAAAAAAACTTCTTCATAGAAATATAAGCAATATAGGGATATAATTCAACTTTGACTATTAAAGAAGTGTCGCATTTTCCAGTTTGTCGCTGAACTGACAAACGTATTTGTTAATGAAATTCAAAGAAATATATATGTACGTTAGATTATTCTTCAAAAATATGAAACAGAAAGGTAACCGATCACAACAACAACAAAAAATAAGTAAATCTTAATTTGTTCTTTCCATTTTTGAACTTTGTTAAACTATTATTTTATTGTAACAAACAGTAGCTATCAATATGTAGACTGTAATGCACTGAACAGACACTAGTACTTGTCTGAAAATAAAATAATTTACAAGATTACATATGTATTGTGTCCATATATATATGGACCCTATTTATAGGTACAGAGGTATAAAATCAATTTGAGAATTAATTAAATAAATAAATTTCTATACTTTGTATCTATTCCCGAACCCCATTTATTATTGCGTACGATTTTTTTAAAACTTGCAGGGATTTAAAATGTGAAAACATTTTACTGGATAAGAACATGGATAGCAAGTTAACTGGTGAGTACAATAAAGAAACAAACGAGTTAGATTGTAATAAAAATTTAAAAAAAAAAATGAATTTGATATCATTGTTAATTAACTCCTAGATGCTGTCCAGCAAGACTTAATGATGTAACAGACACGGATATCTTAATTTAATTGGTCTGTTATGACCTTTGTATTGTTCTCTTTTATTTACAGATTTTGGATTTTCCTGTCAAGTCCGAACTGTTGACAATTATCTCAAGACTTCATGTGGCTCTTATGCCTACACTGCCCCGGAAGTGATCCGTGGAAAACCTTACGATGCTTTCCGGTCGGACATATGGAGTCTGTAAGTTGCCGGTCACAATACCCCCACGATACCTTACGGTTCACTACATTAAAAATCTTGATTAGTAGGGGAAAAACAGTATAACAGTTAAAGATGAGCGATTTTAGATAAGATAGATCTGGTTATCAACTAATGCCTCGTTGAAAACTTCCATGAAGGAACACACATAGGCTCATAATTATCTATTGATATCCTATCGGTTTTTCAACATTCGTGTAGGAGTTACCGACCTTTGTGGAAGTTCCAAAATATGAAAGTTTTTGTTAAAATGTGCTCATCGTCATTTATTCTCGACAGACATCTTATAAAAAATAATCAAAAATAATTAAAATTACCCAATTTTTCTAAATCACAAAGTATGCAAAGATACCTATGTATGTTAAACATTAAAGTCAAGTAAATATCTATGTAGGGGGATCATCTTGTTCGCAATGGTGAACGGTCGTCTGCCATTTAACGACAACGAGCTGATGGAAATGGAGGAGGATATGAAAATGCAGAGACTGAGGTTTGAGCGGCACGTGTCTTTTGGTGAGTTTATTGTGTAGAATCTTTTGGGGGCACCTAGATCACGTAAATATGTATCGCAAGTCAATGGCCTTTGTATTAAAAAAAAACATTCTAGACAAGTTGTTTTCTAGGGTTGCAATTTTCACTGTGTAAAATAATTGAACATTAATCCAATGGAAATAAATTTTATAAAGAAAAGCACTGTCCCTTTTATGACTTCCGCAAATATTCATCCCTTTTTCTGAAAGCTTTCTGTAAACCCACCAGAGTCTAAACTATCGAAAGCAAGTAGAACTATGGGAGTTGTAACTTGACAGTGTTCGAGATTCGGGAGTTACAATGTAACTTGACAGTGTGTGCGATTCGGGAGTTAAAATGTTTTTTGGCAGTGTGTGCGATTCGGGAGTTAAAATGTAACTTGACAGTTTCTGAGATTCGGGAGTTAAAATGTAACTTGACAGTTTCTGAGATTCGGGAGTTAAAATGTAACTTGACAGTGTCTGAGATTTTGGAGTTAAAATGTAATTTGACAGTGTGTGCGATTCGGGAGTTAAATATAACTTGACAGTGTTGCGATTCGGGAGTTAAAATGTAACTTGACAGTGTCTGAGATTTTGGAGTTAAAATGTAATTTGACAGTGTGTGCGATTCGGGAGTTAAATGTAACTTGACAGTGTCTGCGATTCGGGAGTTAAAATGTAACTTGACAGTGTCTGAGATTTTGGAGTTAAAATGTAATTTGACAGTGTGTGCGATTCGGGAGTTAAATGTAACTTGACAGTGTCTGAGATTTTGGAGTAAAAATGTAACTGATAGTGTTTGAGATTCGGGAATTAAAATGTGACAGGGGTCAGGAGCTATAATGTAATATGACGGAGACAGGGGTTCGTGAGATATCATGTAATTTGACGGTGGCAGGGGTTTGGGAGATATTATGTAATTTGATGACGGTAAGGGTTCGGGAGCCCTGAGATATGTAATTTGATGGTGGCAGGGGTTCGGGAGATATTATGTAATTTGACGGTGGCTGAAGTTTCGGAGACATTCTGTCTTCCAATTTCCTTCAATGCGCTTAAATTTTCCGTGTTGAGAAAAAAGTGATTTTGTCCGAGTAATGTTCGATTTCTCACAATGACATTTGAAAACAAAGTGCTGTGATAGTTTTGTTATGATTTACGCAGGTCGTGCGATTAAAGTAAGCAATTTGGGTATAAGTATTGGTTACATGTGTAAGTAAACCAAGTGCGGTGACGCTGATTTCAAAAACTCAAAACAAACTTTTGCTGATTACAGAAATATCCGGTGTTAATTTGGAACAATGTCAAGGGATATTGCCTGTTCCTCTTTGCTATAACGGGTATAGAGTTTACGGTTAGGGATATTTCCAAAACCCAAAAAGTGTCATTGAGCTGCAATCTCATATACGTCTAATCCTGGGAGACAAGAAAAAGGGAAACATAACTACCAGTTAAATATAATTATATCATGTAAATATAGTTTCATGGTTTTCATCTTTTAGATTGTATGGTTCTCATACGAAAGTTGCTTCAGTATCATCCATCTATTAGACCGCCGTTGAATGAAGTCATAGATGACCCATGGCTCACTGGAAAGAAACCAATACCTCGTCAAGTGACCAGACCAAAATGGATCGTAAGTTGTAAAATTGGGGTGTCATCATCATTCCTAGCAAGAATTTTGTTGTTAAGGCATATATTACATGTTTACAGCTAGAGCGATGTTTGCTTCTGACAGTAAGCTGGTCACAATGTACCGAGAGCAATGCAGTATAGAATTTGCGTATAATATAACTGCTTGTATTTCCTTGTTCATAATTTCATTGTTATTATTCTTGTTATATTGTTTTGGTTTCAATTATCTTTTACTAGAACCCGTACAAATGCCAGAAAGAAATCAGCCCAGATATCGACAACCTACGTGTTGAACAAACAAGCGTACCACGTCGATCAAATCCCATCTGCTTTAAGGCATCCCCAAAGAAAGGTCATTCTAATCCATCAACACGGACTGTAACCGTGAACCAAACTGCGGGTGAAACTGTAACCTTGAAAAGCAGGAGAGTTAATAGAACTGGTGAGTTGGAAATACAATATTTTTGTTTTTTTTTGTTAGTTCGTTGTTGCTTTCTAGATTTTTTTCGGGTTTTTGTTTCTTCAAATTTTCATGATTTTACCAAAAGCAACAGAGGGATGTGTTTTTCATAGAAATTGATTGTTTCCGTGTAAATTTAATTTCCATTTCTTTTTTTCTTCCTTTCTCGAAATATTGACACATAAAACTCCTCAAAAAGAACAAATTTTACAGTACTCTGCAGTCGTGTTGAATGGTCATGTCGTTTCCAGCTTAATCTGTTACTTTTTAAAATTGTGAATTGACATTTGAACAGTTTGTAACAGTGATTTAAGAGATACATGTAAATTATGTATACTAAGAAGCGGCCAAGGTTGGCTATTGTAAGGACAGACATTTTAGGAATACAAAGTATATCTATGTTTACACAGCTCACATCCTGAAATATGTTTTCCACTCCCTTGTGTTCGCCTGTAAAATGAATTCGTCGTTTCTTTAATGCATGTTTTTTTATTTAATTCTCAATGTGTATTGAAAGGTGTTTTTCATTTATGTGTCTTTCTTACTGTCATTTGGCCAGTATATACATGTATGTATAATATCTTAAGTTTATTACACATCAACCAGATACGTTCTGTTTGACGCTAAACGTTTTGTTGACTCAGGTCCGAAAGCGCCACTTAGACCAAACACGTGGCCAAAGTCTGCCAAGGGACAAAAGGAGAGTGAGAGAGTCACAACACCTAATACTCCCAACTTCCGATATATAGCACAGCTTGTCATGATGAACAGAGATAACTTTGAACCATCACCAACACCGTGTACAGGCAAGGAGGATGGTGTATGTAAACAGATGCCACTCTGGTTCATGTATAACAAGGTTTGTATATACTATGTTTATTCTGACGAAGACTGTAAACGTCGTGCTCGTGGAACTTGGTATTCTGTTAAAAAAAAAACAGCACCGGTTACGTCGTGCATGAATGGACATGAATTTATTTTGGTTTTTATCGATGGACGATACCAAATGGTACAGTATCAAATCTGAAAGTGATGGAAACGTCGTTGTTAGAGGAATAGAATTATTGTTGTCGTGTTTTGAAAAAAAAATATTGCATGTGATATTAAACAGAATGATAACATAAAAAAATACATGTATTCGACGTGGTGGTTTGTGAAATTGCCAAACTGTCGAAATTTTAACGCAATCATACCTAACAAAATCATATAAAAAGATGCATATTTCAAAGAACGAGTGATCTCTTTATTTGAATGTGAGATTTTAGCTTTAAAAATGTTCAATATAAAAAATGCATTTTCAACGTTATATGTTTACCAAGATTTGTCTCTACATCAGAGTAATTGTTAAAAATATCTGCGTTTTACTTTATTTACAGTTACTCCAAGATCACTCTAAAACTATTAGCGCCAATGATGGTAATGCTAAAGGTGACGAAGTGAAAGGCGGCAAGCAGGAAACAACAGGGAAAGCATGGGCAACCGCCAAAGTCGACAGCAAAAATAAATCGAAACCAGAAAGTCAATGTCCATCATGTTCGGGGAGCACGGGGAAGCTTATTACACCAAAGACTCGTGTCGGATCAACAGGTGCGAAATCGGAAAAGTCTGATCAAAAACGACGTGGATTTCCCCAAAGGTCAACCGTGAAAAAAGCTGCCATAGCTAAAATGCGGAACGGTTTGATCAAGTTCCCGGTAGAAGGATCGAAAAAGCAAATGACACCAAAATCTGCCAATGGCGTTATTGGCAGAACAAAGGTAAGCTACGTCTGTTGTGTAAGGTTCGTTAGAACGCATGCAGCACAGCCTTGTCACTGTACGTTATATAACTCGTTATGTACGATCACTTCTGTTCATATCTTGTCTTAGGTTTTGGTCACAATAACAACTGCTTGACATTATACGGGAAACGTATTTGATCAACATCTGTTCTGAAAATGTCCGGTTTTTATCACATCAGAACTGAGTAAGAAGGCATATGAAAGGAAAAGGAGACAATTGGGCAAGTCGGTAAACTATAATCGATATTTTAACTGAAAGTTCCCTCTTCGTATATCACAGGTAATGTTTGGAAAATATTCATTACCAACACTACTATCACTTACACAGGTGACAACAGCTAGTCCAGGCATATCTAAATCAGCAGTGACAAGTAACCCCAGGGTCAAGGAGAAAGCGTGCACCCCACGCGCTACCGAGGTCATCCTGCAAGGTGAAGGTGACAAACGGAAATCCCCAACCAAGTTCAAATTTGAAGAAGAAATTTTGAAGAAAGGATCACCAAACGAGCCGTAAGATTAAGTTAATATATTCAGATCTAGCTTACCTTTACACATACAGAGAAATGTAGACATTCAGATCTAGCTTACCTTTATATATACAGAGAAATGTAAACATTCAGATCTAGCTAACCTTTATATATACAGAGAAATGTAGACATCCAGATCTAGCTAACCGTTATATATACAGAGAAATGTAGACATTCAGATCTAGATAACATTTAAGATACAAAAGTCATGTAGGCATTCAGACCAAGGTTACATTGATATATGTATACACTGGAACCTTCCGTTATGATGACAACAAGAACCTGTAACCGAGGCTTGCTGCCAAACCACAAACTCCTCATACCTATATATCAACCCACCACGGCAACATTAGAAAATGGACATTTCTGTAGCAGGCATCAAAACGTTTAGATAATTAGGGAAAAACATCCGTTTGCCCTGCCATATATAAAATTGTACTTCCAGTATGATGATATAAAAATAATTCATTAAGAGCGTTTGTGATCTGAAGAATTCACGCCAAATAGCAGTATATACTACAAGTGAGTGTGTACAAAAGAATATATGGTTCCTGGAATTGCATGCTTTTCTTGAATACAGCTACTACGATCTTATTTCTTAAACATTTTTTATCTGACCAGGCCCCCACTGCCCCCACTAACGGGCCAAACGGTTGAGCACCACGAGAGCGATGTCCGACCATATCATGGCAACCGCCGCATGCCTTTCTGTCCTCGAATGAAGAAACACCGCCAGAGAGTCATCGTTCATTCTTGTACTTAACAGATGGTTTGTGTCCTCTACTCACATTAAATGGCAAGATTAAACACTTGTCAGTTGCTTCATGTGAAACTACCACAAAGAAGATATTCGAAATAATTAAATTATTCCGATAAATTGCTGTGTTGTAATTGTCATTTTATATATCACAGTTCCATTTGAAATTATATCTTGGTAATATGGTTGTTACACCAAAGGTGAAGGTCGCAAAGGCATGGATACCGGAAGTCATTTCCCAGTGATTTTATGGTGATAAAGACTGTGGAAGTGTCCCCGTCGACAACAGATCAGACGTGTGAAATTAATGACCTTAGTTCATTGACTGCAACGTGTTGCAAACAATACATGTACGACTACACATCTTTCTGTTCAACATTTATATCCGCTGCTGATCGAGAAAAATGAGCATTAGCCGAGAAATTCTTAAAATGCATGTTTATTCCCGGTGCTGATCGAGAAAATGAGCATTATAAAATTATAAACGAGACCTCCTTCTTCATTCATTATTCTGGGGAAAACTTTCTAAAAAGTTGCCCGAACCAAATATTGATTTGATCTGTGTCTTATTTGAGAACTTCATACCAAACTTCTGCTATCCAGATAAGTATATCAATAATCCAAGACCTTGCGTGGGTGTCATCAACTTCGTCTGTTTTACAAAAGTTATCAAATAAAGACATTACATTTCTGCTGTGTGTTTTTTTCTGCCGCTTGATATGTACATTGTACATAATGTTTGTTTTCGCTGTGGTTGTAATACAAAGCATCAGATAGCCTGGAGGCCGTGATAATCAGGTCGAAAGTGAAGGCAGGAGGCAGAAAACAATTGTCAATGCCTCAAAAGTTGAAGACAATCACTGATTTACACCGGGATCCACAACTGTTTATTTCCATAAAACATGAAGCAGGAAACGACATACAGGTGTAAAGTAAAATGTTTCACTTATTCCCGCAGTGGGTAAGCGTTACCGTTATATTAGATCAACAGATTTGCGAGCTCCACTTACACGACTGACTGCAGGTGTCGTGGGTGAAGGAGACATTTACTTTGCCGGAGCATTTAAACTTGTTCTTTCTTGCACATTTACGCAAGTCTCCATATACATTTTTCTTCTGTTCATATTTTGCCTCCGTTTCATCGAATTCGGATTTGAATTATTACTCTGTTGAGTGTAGGTATTTTCTGTGTCGTTTTTTTTTTTTTTTTTTTACATTTTATAGATAATTTAGTCGTTGTATAACAAAATCAAAACTTATTGAATATTTATTTTGGTATATGTTCGTGAATTCCCTTCGACAAGTGTTCACTAATGTCTAGTAAGCGTGATCAGCATTGTTGTCGCCTGCGGTGAAAATACGTTTCATTTTAGTATCAATCTAATAATCTCTTACCAGATCCTTGGTACTCCAACGGTTACGATCATTTTTGCTCTCTGTACCCCTGGAACATGTCATAACAAAACTGAAAGTTCCATGTGCGATGCCTTGTGGACAAGACAAAGACTAGTTTGATCTTTTAATGTACACCAAACGAATCTAGAGGTTGCGTAAGTGTCGCTCATAAGAAGCATATCAGCCGGTGGTTATTTGTTTTTCTTCTGGAACCAATCAACTTACTTCGCTTGTGCATTCGATTTTGCCATGGCATTTTTCCAGGGGTGCAGAGAGTGATTGTAACCCCTTGAGTATCGAGAATGCTCTTACAAGAAATGGACAATCCTCTTGCTAATGTTGAGATGTTAGTGATTACGAAGTAATTGGTTTTGTGTTCCCCAGCCTATAAATCTTGAAATGTTCATTTACGTATTATCCAATCTTATTTCATTTATCAAGCTATGCTTTTTAATGCAATAATTCCTTTCTAATTTTTCAATGACAGGTTTGCTTAATATGTAAACAAAACGTATCAAAATTTTTGTCTTTTGACATTTTTCTGAAAAAAGATATAATCAGAATTCAGTAAATCTAACTTCTTCAGAATTTATCAGACATATCGTATACGCAAATTACGAAATCCATTGAATTATGGGGCCATCTAAATTTTGAAATTTCTTCTGATCACTTTGGAATTTACTTTGTCGCCAGTTAGATTGAAAAGCATCAATGACGAGTCCTAGAAGGACGAAACAGCTGTATGATGTAGCATCACTGACGAGACCTAGAAAGACGAAACAGCTGTATGATGTAGCATCACCTACGAGACCTAGAAGGACGAAACAGCTGTATGATGTAGCATCACCTACGAGACCTAGAAGGACGAAACAGCTGTATGATGTAGCATCACCGACAAGTCCCACCAGAACGAAACAGCTGTATGATGTAGCATAACTGACAAGTCCTAGAAGGACGAAACAGCTGTATGATGTAGCATCATTTGTGAGTCCGAGAACAAAACAGCTGTATGATGTAGCATCACTTGCGAGTCCGAGGACGAAACAGCTGTATAATGTAGCATCTCTGACGAGTCCGAGGACGAAACAGCTGTATGATGTAGCATCACTTGCGAGTCCGAGGACAAAACAGCTGTGTGATGTAGCATCACTGACGAGTCCGAGGACGAAACAGCTGTATAATGTAGCATCACTTGCGAGTCCGCGGACGAAACAGCTATATGATGTAGCATCACTGACGGGTCCTAGAAGGACGAAACAGCAGTATGATGTAGCATCACTTATGAGTCCGAGGACGAAATAGCTGTATGATGTAGCATCACTTGCGAGTCCGAGGACGAAACAGCTTTATGATGTAGCATCACTTGCGAGTCCTTGAAGGACGAAACAGCTGTATGATGTAGCATCCCTTGCGAGTCCAAGGACGAATCTGCTATATGATGTAGCATCACTGACGGGTCCTAGGAGGACGAAACAGCTGTATGAAGAAGCATCACCTACGAGACATAGAAGGACGAAACAGCTGTATGATGTAGCATCACTTGTAAGTCCGAGAACAAAACAGCTGTATGATGTAGCATCACTTGCGAGTCCGAGGACGAAACAGCTTTATGATGTAGCATCACTTGCGAGTCCTTGAAGGACGAAACAGCTGTATGATGTAGCATCCCTTGCGAGTCCAAGGACGAATCAGCTATATGATGTAGCATCACTGACGGGTCCTAGGAGGACGAAACAGCTGTATGAAGTAGCATCACCTACGAGACATAGAAGGACGAAACAGCTGTATGATGTAGCATCACTTGCAAGTCCGAGGACGAAACAGCTGTATGATGTAGCATCTCTGACGAGTCTGAGGACGAAACAGCTGTATGATGTAGCATCACTTGCGAGTCCGGGGACGAAACAGCTGTATGATGTAGCATCACTGACGAGTCCGAGGACGAAACAGCTGTATGATGTAGCATCACTTGTGAGTCCGAGGACGAAACAGCTATATGATGTAGCATCACTGACGGGTCCTAGAAGGACGAAACAGCAGTATGATGTAGCATCACTTATGAGTCCGAGGACGAAATAGCTGTATTATGTAGCATCATTTGCGAGTCCGAGGACGAAACAGCTGTATGATGTAGCATCTCTGACGAGTCCTAGGACGAAACAGCTGTATGATGTAGCATCACTGATGAGTCCGAGGATGAAATAGCTGTATTATGTAGCATCATTTGCGAGTCCGAGGACAAAACAGCTGTATGATGTAGCATCTCTGACGAGTCCTAGGACGAAACAGCTGTATGATGTAGCATCACTGATGAGTCCAAGGATGAAACAGTTGTATGCTGCTTTTGACTATGCTGTATCTTATCCAGATTTGTATTAATGGTGCTATTCATGTGTATGTCTTTTGTACAATTATGAATTTTGCGACTTTGAATTGTTAACTTGTGACACAAATTAATCTAATTCTTGTCAACTGTGTACTTTATATTTACTGGAAGGGCAACAATTAAGCAGTATCATGCTTTGAAATGACTCTTACTGGAAAGCATCCTGTTCAAAACGGAAAATATGTTTTCAATCTATTTAAACAATTTCTGAAAATAGATCCTATAGTTTTCCTTGTTAATTGTTAGGAAGAGTATGAAATATATTCAGAATATTCACAATTATATATTCTAAGAATTTAAAACAATATGGTTTTAATTTAGATGACCACTTACCAGTTTTCAGTCTATACTAACATTCTGGTTCACTTTACTGTAATCTTGTACTTTTGATTGAACATTCCTTATTAAGAAAATTCAGTAAGTTAAATGTGAATAAGACACATAACTTACTTCACTTATGTTGATGTTTCAGTACCCACGACAAAACAGAACTATTCACAAGATTTCCCCATCTTTGGATTTCCATGTGGGCTGAAACCAAATTTAATATTTGCTTGAATGATTTAAAGCCAATCCCCTTCAGAAACCATTTGGTAATATCTTATCATTACAGTAGGACTTTTTAAAACATCATTATCGGCCCTTCAGAAACCATCTGGTAATATCATATCATTACAATAGGACTTTTTAAAACATCATTATTGGCCCTTCAGAAACCATCTGGTAATATCTTATCATTACAATAGGACTTTTTAAAACATCATTATTGGCCCTTCAGAAACCATCTGGTAATATCATATCATTACAATAGGACTTTTTAAAACATCATTATTGGCCCTTCAGAAACCATCTGATAATATCTTATCATTACAATAGGACTTTTTAAAACATCATTATCGGCCCTTCAGAAACCATCTGGTAATATCTTATCATTACAATAGGACTTTTTAAAACATCATTATTGGCCCTTCAGAAACCATCTGATAATATCTTATCATTACAATAGGACTTTTTAAAACATCATTATCGGCCCTTCAGAAACCATCTGGTAATATCTTATCATTACAATAGGACTTTTTAAAACATCATTATTGGCCCTTCAGAAACCATCTGGTAATATCATATCATTACAATAGGACTTTTTAAAACATCATTATTGGCCCTTCAGAAACCATCTGGTAATATCTTATCATTACAATTGGACTTTTTAAAACATCATTATTGGCCCTTCAGAAACCATCTGGTAATATCTTATCATTACAATATGACTTTTTAAAACATCATTTATTGGCCCTTCAGAAACCATCTGGTAATATCTTATCATTACAATAGGACTTTTTAAAACGTCATTCTTGGCCCTGCCGTCTTCACATAGAGAGTCACACACTTAGTTCATAGGACAACGTGTCTCATCCTTCCCCTGTTGCTACAGAAAAATTACATCAGAACCATTTAAAATCATTTTCTAAGAATTCACCTCTATTTCCGATATCTGACCCTACTTCTATGCTACCACATAAGCAGACATACCCACTTTTTATAAATGAGTGTGCTTCAGTCAAAATTGTTTGCGACTAAATGTGGTTGAATTCCATGCTTTTGTTTTTTTCTTGCATCATTTAAGAGTAATGGAAAGACGGACAGACAACCGGGACTAAGCTCACTGTTCTCGTTGATTACTCGAGTTGAAACTGTAGCAAAATGTGCAAATTCAAATTTTTTTATTACATTTCAAATATTACATACATAATATTTTCTTCTGATCCCATTTACAGACAAGAACAAGATCTCAGTATGTACATAAAAACTTTTCAGTATATACAAAATTCACACCCTACACACCCTCACATATACCTCTATAATTCATATCAACTTCGCAGCAATTGAGGCATCATATTACAAAAGAATATCACACAATAATATGAAAGGTCCGTCTCACTTTTAGATAATACCACATATAAATCAAGTCAACTTTTCCTGCATATCTCCAAGAATCTTGAAAATTTCAGTGTAACATTGTATACAATTAATTCATTTCATTTTAGAATTATGTTCATTTCAAATCTACTAAGAATTATGTGGTAATATCTTATACCAATCTTACCTCATTTTTTCTGATGTTTTCTGATATAAACGATGTCAGATATTTCAAATATGATTTATATTGAAAATGATATGCAATACACTGTTAATCATTGTAAAAGAGACCTTGTTTGGTCTTCAAGAGTTTCCTAAGGATCAACAAACATTCAAATTTAAACAAGCTGCCGAATGCCTTCTTCATATGAGGTCGAAAACAAAGCTTGATTTCACTATCAAATCACAGTAAACAATATTATAACAAATAAATCACTCAAAATCAAAATAAACAGACAACCATGTTAAAGATAGTCTTGAGCAGTTCTGTTACCCGCCTAGCATTAATTTTGATTTCACAATATATTGCAATTATCCAGATATCTATTAGGAGATTGAGCAGTTAAATTGAAAACAAATATCTTCATGAAACTTTTACATGTAAAGAAGCCAATCAACTCTAAAGATGTTTAAAAATATATGCCACAATAATAAAATCAGTAACCATTTCATAACTATCATCTTAAAATTTAAATGCATGACTAGGTAGGTTTCAGGTCTCCAATATCAAAGCGGTTAGTAGTTATTAGGAATGCAACATTTGAGTTATTTATCCAATGCAATTGCAATTGTCAGTACAAATTAATGGACGTTGAAAATTACCCTGTATGATTTTCAGTTCGAAGCTAATTCCATTTAAGAATACAGTGACATTTTAATATTAATTGAAGTCAATTAAATCATCTATTCAATCATCACATTAATAAACAACATATTTACGATCAAGATATCAATTGTAATTTGGTCTTGTATCATTGGATAATTAATATCTCTAAATTTCACTATAATCATCCCCCTCCCCCCCATCCTAACCTTGGTACACACAGTACCTCTACACAATCAATATTGTGGAATCTTCGTTAATTATGTAAAACATGTGAGGACAACATGATCATATTTCCAGCTGGCCTAAAAAATATCATCTTAGTTCCTACTTTTGCTATCTATTACAAATTTGGCACTTTACAAATATGGATGTTGCCAATCACAATACATCAAAATGTATGGACTGAAGGAAATGCTAAGTCCGGATCTTTGGTCATCATAGAAAAACACTTAATAACTTCATCAATGTTTGATGTATATTTTCACAAAATCATTCTGTCCCCTATGTCTTCTGTCCATTCATGTTGTTCCCATTTTGTGTCCTCAATATTCTGTCTGTATGAAATGTAACCAATGCCTTCAGTCCATGTTAACTTGAAGGATACTCTTTGAGAAGTTGCCCAGCTATCACAAGACGCTGAATCTCGCTTGTGCCTTCATAGATCTCCGTGATACGTGCGTCACGATAGTGTCGTTCAGCAGGCATGTCTGTTGTGTATCCCATACCTCCAAGCACTTGAATGGACTGAGATTACAAAAAAAAAAAAAAAAAGGTAGGTAAATATTTCTGTGCAAAGCAACCTATATTGTTGAAATGAATTTCAGTCATAAAACTTTATCAAAATAAGGTTTTTCAATGAAGTACTTGGGTTGCGATGTACTCCACCAAACCTGTACATTCATTTGCTGATCAATTTTGTAAAGGATTGTTTTGAAAAAAACAAAACTAAAACTATTACCTTTAATTTATGATTGCTAACACAATATGATAGTACAGACAACAGCACTTATTATCACCAGTTATAAGATTACTTTCTAGTGATGATATAGCTGTTTCAGTATTGAAAAGTCCACCCAGAACATTTTCTTTTATATTTGACAGAGTGTTTTGTGTAAGAAATTCTTAACAGATAATATATAGAATATAGATGAGATGAAATGGCAAATTCAATATAGTGCTGTCAAACATGCTAATATTACTACAATGTTAAAGTTCTTATTACCTGATGGCTCACATTTGTTGCTGCCTCTGATGCTGCTAATTTAGCCATTGCTGCTTCCTGCAAAACAAGGAAAATTAAAGCTGCAAAGGTGACTAAAGCATAGCTGTTTCTATTTTCATTTTACATGTAGTTATTACAAGGTCTCAATACCTTATTGTTGACAATTATCTCACCTTCAAAGAGTTAAAAAGAAACTTAATAGTAAAGTATGCATAAACATATAAATATTTCTGTTTAAAAGTGAATGAAAATAAACAGAAATAAGAAAAGAGCAGACATTTAATCTTCCATTCAATGCAGACTACACTGATCCCAAAATACATTGTGTGCAAATCTGCTGACATCTACAATGGGCTGAAGTTATGATTTTACCTTAATGAATGGTTTGCCATCATCCTTTAGCATGGCGGCCTTCCAGGTTAACAGCCTAGCACTCTCAATAGCCATGGCCATATCAGAGAGCTTGGTCTGGAAACAAAACATGAAATTAACTACTTAATGCCAGGAATTATTTTCTGAAAAGAATTTCCTATGTTTCATCTTCCGATCCTTTTTACCTAATTTCTTATTAAAGCCTCCTATATATATGTGTGTGATATTTATTCTGCAATAGATCCAGGAGGCCAACATTCAATCTCAGACTCAAAGTGAGGCGCTTGAGACTTTCATATGAAACATGGAAATAGGTTGGTAAGCACATATCAATAGTTGGAATTTTATACTGTAAAATTTACATGGTTAGGATGGCTACAACATACAGTCTTAACAATTTAAGAGATCATAGTTGTTAATACCAGTACAGTACCTGGATGGTCTGCATGCGTGCTATAGGTGATCCAAATGCCTCCCTCTTCTGGGCATAATCAATAGCACACTCAAATGCTGCCTAAAAACATTGTCACCATGCTTAGAATTTAATATCAAGGTTATTTTTTAAAGCCAATTATTTTTTTAATTTCAAATCCAAGAAAAACATTAGTAAGATATATTGTGAAATAAAATCTAAAATTGTAGAAAACTTTAAAAGGTAAGAAATATTCATCTAATGAATACCAATTTAAGTTAAGTATCAGTTTTCACCACTGTATATTATCATAAAACATGGTCTACTGATAGAAAACGTAGTGAAAATCTTCACAGAATTTTGTTCTCGTGTTTCGGCTAAAACATGTGTGCTCGTTTGTTAAACTTGCAATGGCCAAAATTAAAAATATTTAAAATTTAGCCTAAATTACATATGAAAGCATAAAAACCATCATGATTATTATGTATTATTGCAGGTGCAGAAATTGTGTGAAAATGGAACATAAATCACATGTATGTTTTTAAAATAACATATAAGAGAATCATTTCTTACCTGTGCAATTCCCAAACCTTGAGCAGCTATTCCGATTCGTCCAGCATCCAATGTTTGCTGCAAATGTAATGAAGAACACTATATTTCATTTTTCTGTATTTTGTATAATTTTGTATCATTCTGTGTATTCAAATTTTCTGTTTCATCCATCCATACAAAAAAAATAAACTTCAGTCCCTTGACATTTTTCAAACAAATTGGCTGATTTGTTTAACCATTCCTTTGCAATTTTGCCAAATTGAGTTTCCATCAAAGATGGTCTCAGAAGGTTTTCACAGTTAAAATTTAATCCTTAACACTGATCCAACATAATAATTGTAAATATGGTCCATGATAAATTGTGTACTATATTGCTGTTGTTTTTCTGATACAAACCAATCAAATTATCATTTTTAGACTCTCTTCACCATTTACATACAAAGTTGTGTGGAAATAGACAAGACAACCATAATTGGATAAAATTCAGCTGATTTAAACAAAGCAATGAATATGATAAATTTCACAACATTACAAATGTAAATATATCTGTACTGGTAGAAGTATATTTGTGAATTATGAATGTGAAATCTTTGAAAGGATTTTGAAAGCACTTTAAACATTGGCACCTTATATGTATTTAACGATTTTCAATTTTGAATTTAAAGAGTTACATGCTATGTTTAAAAAAAATGCATAATTTCATGATTTTCTAAAATCTTAACCGTTACCATAGCAATTTTGAATCCCATGCCTGGTTCACCAAGCAGATTTTCCCTGGGAAGCCTGCAGTCCTCAAAAATGAGATAACAGGTAGATGTGGCTTTAATGCCTAGTTTGTCCTCCTTCTTCCCCAATGACAGACCAGGTGTGGGCTTAGGTACCAAAAATGCACTGATGCCCTGAATAATGAATAAAATCATTTGTTCTAATACTGTTTATAACGACAAAGGCAGAATCACGACGACTCACTCTGTGTATAGTTTACAAAACTTGTTGGAATATCTTCAAAAGATACCTAGAATATGACACCCAAAACACATACATTTCTTATATGATAAGAAGGAGAGTTTACATTGTTGTATTTTGGAAATATTACACAAAATAAGTCGAGAACAAAAAAATTAAAGAATACAGTTGTTCAATGCAGTAAAAATACACACTTCAATACTGTGTCTGAATCTGAACATGAACCAGTTTTCTAGACAATTTTCCATACAGTGAAAGTAAGAAAAGAATACAGGCAATACACAGTCCCCTATTTCTAAAATATACGGAGCAATACCGTTACGAGACACTCTCCAACCCAAAGGGGTGTATACATGCAAAACTTTGCAGTTGAATACACTCCAGATATATTAAATATGTTAAATATACAGAACAAACGGTTACAATTCTAAATATACAATGGGGAGTCTGAGAAAGATATTGAACAAACAGTCATAACTCTTAATATACATACAACCAAAAGTCTGAGTGAGATATATAGAAAAACTCTTAATATACATACAACCAAAAGTCTGAGTGAGATATATAGAAAAACTCTTAATATACATACAACCGGAAGTCTGAGTGAGATATATAGAAAAACTTTTAATATACATACAACCGGAAGTCTGAGTGAGATATAGTAAAACTCTTAACATACATACAACCGGAAATCTGAGTGAGATATAGAAAACTCTTAATATACATACAACCAAAAGTCTGAGTGAGATATATAGAAAAACTCTTAATATACATACAACCGCAAGTCTGAGTGAGATATATAGAAAAACTCTTAATATACATACAACCGGAAATCTGAGTGAGATACAGAAAACTCTTAATATACATACAACCGCAAGTCTGAGTGAGATATAGAAAAAAATGGTCACAATTCTGAATATATGTACAATGAGGAGGCTGAGTGAAATATAGAAGGGCCACAGTTATGAATATACTGGTAATACACAATGGAGAGTGAGTGAAAACTGCTTTGATTATGTAAATGTGCACTATCTCTCCATAAACAGTTTTTACCTTCTGGAAAATTCAGAAAACAATGAAGGCTTTAGAAAAAGTTACTGGGTACATATTTTTAACAAAAGACTGATATAATACAATGAGGGAGATGAACAATTATAACAGGTGACACTCAGCTATCATACAATATACTTTTGAAGCAAATCAGCAATTTTGACACAGCACATAAAGATGAGCATATGACCAGCAGTTTGAAAGGCGATTAGATTTTCTGACATATGTATGGAGACCAGACCTAATGGATGTACAATCCCTTCCAGTGGTACTAGTGAAGAATTCTGAATGAGGAAACTCCTACCTTGTGTTTGAGTCCTCTATCTGTCGTTGCAAATACCTGAAACACAAAACATATCTGAATATCATTCAAGTCAATATCAAATAAATCAATATTACATTAACACAAGAAAAAATCTGTACTACTCTGAACTTTCTGATATATTTTTTAGCTCTACATCATGGTACACATCATATCAAGTTGTAATCAACTTGAGTTTGGTAAATTCCAACATTTAGCAATATGTTATTACATACTATAGCAGCATCAGCCTCATAGCCATTTGTAATCCATGCCTTTGTACCATTGAGGACCCATGAATCTCCATCCAGTCTAGCAGTAGTGGAAGCTGCCCCAGCATCACTGCCATTTCCTGTAATTAAATAATAGGAAATATTACAAATATCAATGGGGATGGATTTAACAATAGTGGAAAAAGTCAATCACCCTTTTCCTTTGTTCCTCTCTCTAAAATCCCCACTTGCTCTCTCTACAACCTAAAATCCCCCCTTGCTCTTTCTACAACCTAAAATTTTCCCACACTCTCTCTATAACCTAAACTTTCAACATGCTCTCTCTACAAGCTTAAATTTTCCCATGCTCTATATACAACTGACCATAGCTACATTTTCTACTAAATACTGGGTATTGATCTTAATATCCAGTTTTAGATACTGTACAGTATATACCAGGTTCACTGAGTGCGAAGCAGCCAACCCTGTCACCGGAGAGGAATGGATGTACAAACTGTTCCTTCTGAGCTGGTGTAGCATATTTGTTTACAGGTCCGAGGTACAGGGACTGTACAAATACAAATATGACAATTATTATTATAGATCTTAACATACCAGACATTCAAAATCTGTTTACTGTCAGATGTCTCCTAGTTTGATACTGATTTAGTACTAGTACTTATCTTATTGTTTTCCAAATGTAACACCTTACACATTACAAGCTATTGTGGCATTTTATCTTAAAAGTCCATCATACTTTACGTCTATCTCGCAATAAAAGGCCAAGCACAGGGGCCAATTATGCATTACTTCAGACATAAAGTCTAAGTATGAGCACATTACAGGATGATAAATGAGTATCGGAGGGCACTTATAATGAAACTGCGTTATACATGTACGATGGTGGCCTTATTACAAACTTCAGGCTTATTGCTGGAAATATGGTAAAACAACAACATAATATTTACAGAATGTGGAGACTAAAATGAGAACACACATGGTTAAAATAAAAATATAAACTTACATTGTTTACACTCATTATACAACCAGTAGACGCACAACCTCGGCTGACCTCCTCCATAGCAATGGCATATGCCAAGTAATCCAGTCCTGTACCTCCGTCAGATTCTGGTATATCTACACACATCAGTCCCATCTCCCCTAACTTCTTCACCTACAATGAAAATATTTCTCACCTACACACATCAAATAAGTTTCTGATACATACCTCTGAACCATCTTTACAACAAACATTCTATCAAACAAAATCCATCAGTGTTTCTGTTTCAGATGGTTCTTTTTTCACAAAAAGAAACCATAATCTAATTTGAAGATTTATCTCCCGTCTAACTTTCTTAGCAGAAAGGACAAATAGTTTATGCTATGTCTTTTTCAGATTTGAAATACCAAAAAAAAATGTATTTCTACACTTTTAAATGAAAATCAGACATCAAATATACAGAAATATATCAACAAAGTTAGGTAATTAATCTTACTGAATAATAAAGTTGTTTATTTGTTTCCCTTACCATTGTTGTTTACCAAACATGTGATTTATTTCAGTGCTAGAATAATCATCATGCAACATTCAATCAGTTTTCCTTGTAGCAAATTATTTGTGCATGAAGATAATTTTATATGAAAATATTGTTTAAAAAAATAAAAACTAACTATGCTAATAATTTATACATGTGATCCATTAAATTTTCGAACTTTGTAAATGTGACCCATTAAACATTTTAACTTTGTAAATGTGACCCATTAAACTTTCTAATTTGTACATGTAATCCATTAAACTTACTGACTTTGTGAATATGACCCATAAAATTTGCTAACTTATGAATGTAATCCATAAACTTTTTAATTGTGTGAATGTGAAATTTTTACACTCATCACTTAAGCATAAGTACATGTGACCATGTTTATCCTGTCAAGTATATATTATCAGTCTCACCTGTTCAGCTGGATACAAATGTTCTTTGTCAAGCTTTGCTGCTATGGGTACCAATTCTTTATCTGCAAAATCTCTCACTGACTGCCTTAACATCTCATGTGTGTCTGGTAAATTTGATAAACTTGACAAAGGTCTACTGACTGCACAAGCATCTGGAAAAAAAGATAAGACAGGTTATGGAATATATAATATGTAATGGCTATATGAAGCCATGACTTTTGGAAAAAGGACAAACAATTATCATTATATTCCAAAATTAAAACTTAATCTTGAAAGCAATATTTAACTTACATTATCATCACAATTACATAATCTATGAAAGACAGAATCTCTTAATAGCAGGCACTGTTATACTAATTAAATCTGTGACATGGCACTTTCAAACAGAGTTGTCTACCACCCGTTATGTATTACCTAAGATATTCATATGGTCCTGATATACTTTGAATTGAAGAAACCTTTTTTTCTAACACCAAGTTTTATATAATCTGGAGATTTTAGTTGTGTGTAGGTAAATAAAACAGCTGTCTTTCATGACATTATCATCAAATATCACAACATTGCATCATAACACAAGCACACAAAATGTTGATAAATAGTCTTTTCTCCTTTATATTTGATCCAAGCTTGTTATTCAGTTTACATATTGCATCTACATGAAATAGGAAACACAATTGATGCATCATGTCAGAGACCTGTGGTGGCTGAGTCTCTGATCATACCAGGGCCACATGTAAACTTTGCAAGGTATACATAAAACACACAATTCCCTGTCTGCATATATCCTACTACTATACTTGATCTCTTTACAAAATCCAACCATTTGACATTCCCTCATCCAATCGACGAAATTTGTTTACATTTGACCCACATTAGAACGTTTGATTATCAGAATGTGAGGCTAAAACTGTTTAGTGTTTATTATTTAACAAATCAGAGTGAAAGTTAAGATTAGGGATTTGCAACGTAATGCTATAGGTAGGTCCCAACACTTCAGTAAACATTTGCCACAGTTCATACGTTCATCTCAAACTTGAAGCTATTTTTCCTCTGTGAATGAATTGTCATCTTGTGCATTAATTAACTGTCATGTTCTTTTAAGATATTATTTCACAGTAAGCTGAAGTGTTGCTTACCGGGTCATCCGGACCTCACGTTGCCCTATATACGTGTAGTCGACTATATTATACGCAGATATTTACCGGAGCTACAGTACCTGGCTTACCGTGCATCATATGGTGACACATAGAGTTGAAAATTAATTTTAACACCCCCCCCTCATTTACCCCATTTAGTGCAACTTTGGACGAAAGCCGAAGGTGTGTTGTGTAACGAGGATAATAAGCTATCTGAAACAGCATCTCGTAACTATTAGTAGTAAAAGAAAATGGTGCAAATCTTATGCATTGCTATCAAAAAACACTATTTAAAATACAAGTTTACATACTTTTTCTGGAGAAAACTCGCCCAAAACGAAACAAGGTTCTAGCAGTCGCCATTGTGCCAGAGGGTTACCGTCAAAATTGAAGAGTTCTGAGGTCCAAAGGCCGAGGTGCGTTCGAACTGCGTCGTCGACACCGACTGTACTCAGACAATGTTTTACAACGATTTAACAATGTACATAAATCCATGCAGCTTTAACGATAAAAGTATATGTGTCCAGTTCATCTGATTTTATTTTGGAAATTCTCATCTTCATTTTTCTAAACGAAAAAAAAATCAATTAAAACAATTTCAATTTTATTTAATCAAACATTCACCTACATCTCTCGTTACATCTACCCGTTAATCGACCTCCTTTAAGATACTGTATCGATATAAGTTGTGTGTGAAATATACAAAGGAGAAAATAACATGTCAGTTAGCAGAAGTTAGGAGTTTGTTTTTTAAGCCTCTCAGAGGGTCAGTTGTGACGAGATCTGGTGAAACTATGTTCCATTCTTGGATAGTTCTAAGGAAGAAGGAGTATTTCCGTCAGTCTGTTCTACACTAGATTGTTTGGTAGGTAAAAATGAGAGAGTCGAATCTGACGGATCTGTGGTTTTAGATAGATGTTTTTATTTACAGCAACAAGATTATAAATATATATATATATATATTAGAGTAAGACTGGCATCATTACATCTGTCAGATAAGCTTCGCCAATGCAGATCTTCCAGTATGTCAGTAACACCAGAAGTAGTTCTGGCTTTTTTGTACAGTATAAATGACAAAATGAGCCGTTGTTCGCTATCCATATCTAATTCATTAAGACGACCTTTTGGTGGGGGCCAACACAGTACTAGCACAGTCCAAAGAAGGACGCATACAAGACTTAAAGTATATTTAACTGGGATTTTTTTTTAAATTGTTTTGATGTTTCGTCGAATGAAGTCAAAAGACTTGTTTTTTTTTTACATATCTTGGAAATCTGGGACTTCCATTTTAGATCTTATTGTATTGGTGTGCCCAAGAAACTGGCCTTGTCGGTATGTTGAAGGCAATATTTTGTTTTGTTTTTCGTTTTTGTTTTGTTTTTCTCAGAGATGGATAGAACACTACATTTATGGAAATGGAATTTTCATTTTCCACCTTTTCACCAATTAGATCATGATTTTTCAAGATGTTCTTGTAAAACTTTAGCATCCTTATTAGAAGTGACAGTGATATACATGTTGGTGTCATCCACAAACAGTGTTACTGTAGCCTTGAGAAGTCAAGAGAAATGTCGTAAGTACATAGAAAAGACTCGGTCCGAGGACCGAACCCATGGGGATCCCTGACTCAGCTGGTACGTAGGAAGACAGGTCTCCGCCAAGTATTACCGATTGTGTTCTGTTAGTGACGAAAATTTCCTATCAGTTGATGACATTGCCCCTGATTCCATAGAGGTTAAACATCGTGGCTGACTTTGCCAAACACCTTAAAGAAATCAGGAAAAATGACGTCTGTCTGTTTTTGATTTTAAGCATTTTTAAAAATATCTTTTAAAAATTAAGTAAGCTGTGTTTCATAACATCTACTCTGACGGAAGCCGTGTTGTTATGGATAAAGAATATTGCTTTTGTCTGCATGTGACATTATATCGCTAACACTGATGGGCTCAAGGAGCTTACTGCAGATACAAGTGAAATCATTCAAATATTTTAACGTTTACTCATGTAACATAGACATGCAAAACGTGCACTTGTCCATCACAAAATAACCGCATTCAATTAATTTTATTATTTAATCTAAGTGGGCAATGCTAAGTTGTGTTCTAGGTTTTTATATTGTATACGAGTTACTTCCCTTATACCGTTATTTTAGTCAGTTCATGCGATAATAGCATTCACGGATGCGAATGTACATTTAACATATATAGATACTTTTAGTCATGCAAGAGTGATATGTACGTGTGTGGAAATATACATTATGGGTAACTACGAGAAAAACCCTTGTTTGTTTTTTAAATCTAACTACGTTTGATGATACAGCGACAAAACAAGAGGTTCGCGAGTCTTCAAAGTCAGCTTAAGTGGTAGTAGCGGTAAAATGTAACGACCCAATGTTCAATAAGTTTAAAATAATCCGAATTTTTGTAATAAGTTGGCAATTCCTGGTCTCCTAGTGTGTTGTTGGATGTAGTTATCAAGCTTCCACTGCATTCCTATACAGATGATGCCATGTTAAATTGGCTACTTACGTAATTCTACTTTATTTTGATATTATCTGATAAGACATGATAACGAAAACGCTATCGACCATGTAATTTATTATACATTAAATTGTATTTTGCAGGCATATCAAAACATTTGGATCTCAGAATAAAGCTTTGAGTTTTGTGAACGTGAAATATTATTCTGATAATAATGATAGTGGTATAGGAAGCTGTCCGGTGAAAGTATGTGTTCGTGTCCAGTTGTTCTGCTCTGTTGCCTCAAATATTCCCGAAGTTGATACAGTGAAAACGGATGTACAATATCTAACCTCAGATCACTTGTCGCAATTTTTCTATCTGTCGAAGAGCGAAATCTATCTATTCGGACATATTAAAGAACCGGTAACATATAAAGTAATTCTGAGTGTATCAGCTTTTCATATCATTTAATTTTGAATTCTCAAATAAATAAATAAATAAATCAATCAATCAATCAATAAATCAATCAATCAATCAATCAATCAATCAATCAATCAATTAATCAATCAATCAATCAAAATAAAACTACAGTTACTAAACAGACACAGTGACAGTCATAGAAATGTTAAGCAGGGTCAAGATTTTTTTTTATCCGGGAGCTATGTCAGTCTAAAACCCCATTCATACGACGCGATTTGCATACCTCAGTATATTTTACACATATGTAAATTTACTTACATGTGCAATTTTTGTCGTATGAACTGATTTGCTCATATGCAAATTCTGCACAGTTGAGTAAATTTGCACCTGGTCAGGACTAGGTGCAAATCAACTTTTGCATACATGTTGTCACAAATTATGTGCTCCCGTGTGTAAATTTTGCTGTATGAACACGCAGCAAATTTAGTTATGTAAGTATTTTGTCATGTGTATTGCATCAGTCTCTATTTTAAGTGTTGTTATGGTTGTGTGTGCTTTGGCGGGAAAAAATATGTCTGTAAACATGACGCCTTTCAAACGACCAAACGAATTTTCAATGGTCATTCGTGCTCTACTTTAACGATAGTTGAAAGTAGACTGAGTTTCTGTAAGGGTAGATCTGTTGGTGTATGGCTTCAAAGGATACGCTGGGTCGCCAAGAAGAACTACTGGCATAGTACTTTCCCCAAATAGCTTTCGCCACTCTGAAAACAAGGAGCCATTATCTCCTTTGAGATAAATTTCCGAATTTGCATCGTGGACCCTTCCTGGCCAACCTATATTTATGTCTCTAAAGAGACAGCTGTGGTCGCAAACACCTTGCAAAATCAAGGAGAAAAACCCATTCCAGTTCAAGTAGTCTCCATGGGAATGCTTATGAGCTATGATGGGAATATGCGTGCCAGGGTGAAAGCATTTTCCAATTTTTCATAAAATTTCAAGAATGTTTCCTTTTTCATTCGAAAATTCTCATACCAATCTTCGTCCTTTAAGGCCGGTTTTGTCGTACCATTCAATGGATCGGACTTTCCTACTACTTTCCTTGATTCGGGAAATAGCAAGGGAGTACGCTTTTTCTGTGAAAATTCACCAGTCTGAATCGGACCATCTCCTTATTTCAAGTGACAATTTACTGGATTTACTAACGGTACATATATCTCTAATGAACGCATAGCAAATTAACTTTTACTTATGTGTGTAAATTTACTCATGTGTAAATTTGCATATATAGGCAAATTTTCGTCATATGAATGGGGTTTAAGACCTTACATGACAATAACAACATGAACGACAGAACGATAGCAATAACAAGAATGATATAATGTTAGCAGAAAGAATGACAAAATAACCGTACCAGGATAACACGACGACAGGTAAAGACGAAATGGTTACAATTCTAGTGTTTATTTTAACCGAAATGACATGGTTGTATAAACACAGTGGAACAGTGACATTAACAGGAATAATATGATGTTAGCAGAAAGAATGACACAATAACCGTACCAGGATAACACGACGACGGTTAAAGACGAAATGGTTACAATTCTAGTGTTTATATTAACCGAAATGACATGGTTGTATAAACACAGTGGAACAGTGACATTAACAGGAATAATATGGAGGGAATGACCGTAACAATAACAGAAGTAACATGATGAAAGTAACAATCATGACGACTAAGAGGAATGACATGGTTATAGTAACATGGAATGACATGGTGACAGTAACATGGGATGACATGGTGATAGTAACATGGAATGACATGGTTATAGTAACATGGGATGACATGGTGATAGTAACATGGAATGACATGGTTATAGTAACATGGGATGACATGGTGATAGTAACATGGAATGACATGGTTATAGTAACATGGAATGACATGGTTATAGTAACATGGAATGACATGGTTATAGTAACATGGGATGACATGGTGATAGTAACATGGAATGACATGGTTATAGTAACATGGAATGACATGGTGACAGTAACATGGGATGACATGGTGACAGTAACATGGGATGACATAGTGGGTTATGTTATAACCAGGCACTTCCATAGGTATTTTTACATCTCCTATTGTCGATTATAACTGAATAGAAACTATATGCGTAAATTGATTTTGAATGTAAAGAACATGGCTAAACTGACACCCCTCCCCCTATGTAGGGGAATTACATTTTGGAGTATAACTTGTATATTATCTATTGGAAATAGATCAGAATTGTTGAGAATTGTCGCTACATGATGACAGTTTGATGATGTGCACATTTCGATCCTAGCTAACCCCCAAGGGTTAATGGAAAGAGCCAAAACTGGTCAAATTGACTAAAATTTCAATGATATTCTCAATACCCAAATATTACAGAATATATTAAATACTGTTCGTGGATGGAAGAGTTGATATAGGAAAATTACCTT